ATACTATATTGGCAAATTAAACGGGTATTTGTGAATATTACTAGATGAAAGTTGGTTATCTATTTTTGTTATAATAATTCATCTATGTATATAATTGTATTTTGTTTATTATAAAAATATGTAAATTAAGCTTGGTATCACTTACTTGAATTCTAAATCTATGAAGTTTCGTAAACCATTGATTCTGCAGAACTATCACTGGAATCGTCTTTATCGTCGGAACTTAAAGTTATGACTAAGGTTCAACCGTCGTTTCGATCATACCATCCAAGCACCACATATTATTTTCTTCCTTAATTACATGGGAAATAGCATTCTGCCAAATCTTCAGGTTTTATACGTTCTATACCGGTTTTTAATAAACTTTGAACGTCGGCTATTTTAAAAGTTTTATTTTCTCGAGCTACAAATCCTTTCACTTGCGCCCAAATTAGTTCAATAGGATTGAATTGGCAGTGATAAGGGGGAAGTCTTAATACCGTCATACCACGATCACGAGCCATTGTGTCGACAACATATTGAATATATTTATGGCAGTGTTCCTTTATTAGGTCCATCAATTCTACTTTAAGCATCTCCTCAGTAAATGTTATTGCTTTATCCCGCAGCCAGGTTTGCATATCCGCTTTCCTACTGAAAATTATCGGAATGCGTTCAACTCGTCGACTGTGATAAGAAGCGTTATCTAGTACAATAACTGAATTTCGTTCTACACGCTGTAATACTTCAGTAAACCATTTTTCATCAAAGCATTCCGCATTCATGTCCTCGTGGTAGTCTCCTGTTTTTTTCGATATAAACACAAGAGCGCTATTTTCCAAAAATCCACTGTCACTTCCGATATGGGTAACAATTAGGCGCTGTCCTTTACCTGTAGATAATCCCTCTATAAAAGCTTGGCGATGACTAGTTACAGAAGTATCTTGCCATATCTTAGATACCGTGTGTCCAGCATTCACCCACATTTCATCGAGATAGTATATCTTTTTTTTAACGGCTCTAAACTCTTCAATATTTCGTAAATAACGCCGTCGCCAGGACACTATATCCTCTCAATTAAAATTGATTTCCTACACCATTTGACAAAACGAAATTTTAGGCCCCATAAAATTTTTCGTAAAGTTTCACGACTCATTAATGGAATTTCTTCGTTTTCTCTTAATTTCGTAAGAACAACTTTATGTGTTGGGGCTTTGTTTAAAAAAAAAAGAATGTACAGTTCTTCGAATGATTTGTTTTTGATTATCGTCCAATTTCAACAATTTTCGACCACGGGTATACGTTTTAGGGGCTTCTAAGAAGCCTTTTTTGTCTTTTCGCGTACAATACGTTCAATTGTTGAAACAGATACTCCAGTTAAAAAAGAACTACGGTTTACAGCTTCATTTGTAGGAAGTGTCTATTTCAGCCCATCATACACTTTCCATATAATGTTCTTTTCATCCTTTGATAAGGGCTTTCGCCGACGTAATTGGGTTTCACTTTGACCCGCCTCTGAATCCATTACTATTGTAACAATATAATTCTACTATTAAATTGTTTTTATTAAATTTATAAAGACACCAATATTTTACTATTCAATAAACTTTTAAAGTACCTACCTAATATACTACACAATAAATATAACTCCTCAAATATGCACTACCACTACCAAATTGTAAGGCACAAACATGAACACCTACTCGTATATCAGAAAAGAGCACTTATACAAAAAAGTGTTTATAAAATAATTATCGTAAATAGTTAAAGCGATACAAATCTAACTTCGTCGAAAGTTAGTTTTCAACTGTCTTTGTGCCTGTGCTGACATTATTCAATCTGTAACCCGTCTGTCGTTTATTTACTTGAAACACATTTTAAAACCATTAAACACAGATAACGAAGTAATTAGGGAATAAATATATTCATTTCTTGAAAACTATCAAAAACGTATATTTAACGCATCATCTTTATTTCAATTATGATGTTGACAAACAAATTTAATAAAGTTTACTAACAAATACCTAATAAATAATAAATAATTATTTGGTATTTGATACGCGGCCTATGCTGACTCTGTCGGAATTTTCATTCATAGACAACAGTGTTGATCATGCAATATTTTGTCCGAGTTATAGTGTGAATCAACTTTTGTAGTACGTATTTATTGTTCATTTTTACAACTTTAACCTCCTCTCCATATTTTGCAAACTAGAAACATTTTACTCAAGCATGTTTGGTTCATACTCCATACTTTGAATCAGTGTACTTCAGTTGCTCCATAATCTATTATATTATTAATAAAACATTGTAAATTAGTAGAAGAAAAAATGGGAGAACAAAATGAGCGGTATAGAATCGCAATCGACACGGAGTAACAAATCAAAATTTTATGGGAGTTTTACAGCACAGGCGGCTCAAACAAAATCTGTGATTTTAAAGAGTCGGCAGTCAAAAAGTGTGGTGAACTTAATAATTTTACCTGTGCCGCTTGTTTTTGTGGAACGTAACAATGAGCTACCCTTATTTTAATCCCTTTTAAGACTCTGATGAGCGCACGGTTGGGTAAATTAGGAGGTATTTGTTTGAATTATTATTTTTTTTGTTACTATTTTAAAATTAAATAATTGTAATTTAACCGCCGGGGTGCTTGTTTTAGGTTAGTCCCCTCGCCACTCACCCCAAAAATTTTTTTTTGGTTGGCTACCAATTTTTTGTTTTTTGGGTGGTAACATATCAAAAACTTGGTAAATTCAATATTTTTACCACTTTTTTGAGATGCTCCGATTTTGCTTGCGTTTTTGCAGTCTTGCACGCTTTTGAGCTTTTTTTGGCTGTTTAGTTTCTGGCAGCGTTAATTGGGTGGTCTCAACGCAGCGCCGTCAGACTCTACTCCTTTTTTTACTAATATAATTATAAAACATTTAGATATAAAATAGATATTCTTACCTACTCTCAAAGATCAGGAAACGTGAAAGTCTCTAAATCACTTTATTCACTTGATGAGTCATTTACTGATATTATTAAAGGTGGCATTTATCGACATCCAAGATTTTTCCAGATTCCACATATTTTTTTCTTCTTTTAACATATGCTCGATTGCCTTTTGCCAATTTTCCTTCGTAACACGTGATATGGAGATTTCTAACAATGCTTCTACATCTTTTAACTTAAATGTCGTATTATGTCGACCTACATATCCTTTAACTTGTGCCCATATCAGTTCAATGGGATTTAGTTTTCAGTGATATGGAGGAAGACGCACAACATCAATACCATGTGTTTTTGTAAGTTCATCCACTACATTTATTTAATTTCACAATTTTCAGTAGTTCTATTTTTATCGATTTTTTCTGGAAAGTTAATGTTTTTGTCTGCTAGCAATTTAATGATATCAGATTTCTTCCATGAAGTATTTGGCACACGTCTAATTAGACCGGAGTGGTAACTAGCATTATCCATTATTATAATTGAACCCTTTGGTAAATGTTCTACCATCTGCTGAAAATATTCTTCAAAAACATCAGCGTTCATTTCTTCATGGTAGTCTCCGGTTTTTTTAGATTGAAATATTAAAGAACCGCGTTTTGAAAACCCGTCATTACTTCCAATATGAGTTATAATTAGACGTCGTCCTTTACCGGAAGGAACCTTTAATCCTGTAGATAATCCGTCCAAAAAAGCCTGTCGTGAAGATTGTATGTTTGTGTCCTGCCACATTTTGCTAACTGTGTAACCTTCATTCACTCAGGTTTCGTCCAAATAAAATATTGTTTTGCCTTCTGAACGTTCTGAGGTATCTCCGTCTCCAACAAACAATTTCTTCAGAATCAACAAGTGCTGCTTTCCTGTTCTGTTTATCCCACTTGAACCTCAAATCTATTAGAGTGTCCCGTAGTTTTGCCTATCTCATTTTAGGAAAATACGGATCACTATTGATTGCGTCCAAAACCTTGGCTAGTGTTGGTATCTTTCTTTTAAAATTAAATTCGTGAACATTTCTTTTTATAGCGCTTTTAATTTGTTCAGTAAATTTCACTTTTTTCTTACCTCCTGCATTTTTCTTTGGGGGTTTAACAACGCCACTTCTTAATTCACTTATAAATTTATATATCGTCGATTTGTTTACACCCACCATATTACTTGTTTTTTCAACAGTATCGTCAACAGAAAACGAAGGATTTTTCATTCTTAGGCGCAATTATAAACATTGCTTACAAATATTTTCTCGTTTACTGACAAGGCACATTTTTTATACTGATCAAGATACTAACTGCAACTGCCTATCTTATCTTTATACCAAATCCTAGGTAGGTAACCATCTTATAATCCCAGCCCCTTGTTTTCATTTTGGTTTTTCCATGGCATTAGTAATCTCCAAGAAGATGATAAAATAACGATTAACCCTTAGATTATAGATTTCTATAATCTAAGGATTTATCCCATTTACATTTTTAATACAATTATAGTCACATTTATATATTTTGATCCCTCAGACTACTTTCTATAATCTAAGCTGAAACCTTTCTCTCCACTTGTCATTAACTTTCACCTTGACATCAAAAATTTCCAAGAAGTCAATGATGAATAACGATTTGAACAATTTAATGTAGGTATACCTAATGGTCAAATTTATTGGTCTTCAAAAATATTTGTTATATACCTTGTTGTTAATTTACTCAAACAAATAACTCTACTATTTACATAACAATTGCAAATAACTCAAAAAACATTTAGTAAAGTACCTACATACCGAAATAATACTCAATAATACATATTCAAAAAAATATATTTTTAAATGATGATTTTATATACCCCGTAAATAATAACATGGCCATCCACACCTGAAATTTCCTGATCAGACAGATATATTACTCCGTGTCGATTGCGATTCTAATATAGTTTTAATCCCTTGGAAAGGCAAAATTAATAGGAAAGCTTCAATTTTCAGGATCAATAAATATCAGTTTGAAATAATTGTTTATATAATCTTGTCGATAATGTTTAACTGTCATTTTTAGGAGCGGAAAATTTTTTCAGGATGTACGATTTCCCAAAAAGCCTACAGTGAGGCATATGCTCATGGATATGTGTTTGTGCTATAGAAATCCTAACGATCCTGGACCAGCGACGTACGATATGAACAATTACAAAGGGTATGAAACAAATACAAAAATAATATTTATTACTAAGTAGTTAATATATTATTTTTTTAAATTGTGCCGATTGCAATAATAGTATATGTCACCAATAAGGTTCTGATTTATCAAACTTGGATTATCAATCTTTTTATAGGATACTCCCGAAGAAGCCAGGCATGTACTCGTTCGACACTTGCAAGGTCTACGCCAGGCCTCATATGTCAGATAAACAGGTGTTAAGTCCGGGACCGGGTAGATACAACATTAGGGCAGCGAAGTTCATGAAACTGAAGAGAAATTCTTGGGTGTTTCAGTCTAGTTATCCTAGAACTGCCTACAGAGATTTTAATTATAGATCTTTCTAAATATTATCTTGTGAACATATGTGATAATAAACTGTAATCCGTTTTTGTTTTACTCAATATTCCGCAAATAGGTTTTTATCCTTTCATTTGTTAAAATTATTATTAAATAAAGTGCCATGGTAATTCAAGCTAAAAAAAATAAATACATTGAAGAAGAAGAATTTTGCAGGTTAAGCATGAGTCCAAACAAAGTGTGTAGTTATTGTAATAAAGAAGTTACAAAATACGTATCTTGCGATTTTTGTGAAGAAAAATATTACTATTATAGATTTGTGTGGAATCCGATAATTTAACCAAATGCCCTAATTGTGTAAAAAGTGAGGTTATGAGATCCAATTCTAACACGAGGGAACCAGTTCCTAGTGATTTGGAACTCCAAAAAATGTCTAATGTGGAATTAATTTCTACAATTCAGGCCTTAAAGGCCTCTGTTGAATATATGTCTGATAAATTTGACGATATTTTGTCAGAAAACAAAAGGTTCTTAGACGAACTAAAACAAGTAAGGAGTGAAAATACTATATTAAAAGACAAAGTTAAAAGTCTTGAACACCGTGTTAATCTACTAGAGACTACAGAACCGATAAGTGCTATTGAAATATGTGGTTCACAAGTTGATTATTCAGTTAATCCAAAATCTGTGACATTAGAAATCATAAACAACCTACTGCAATGTAATATTCAAGATAGTGACATCCAACAATGCTACAAAAAAACGACGAAAAAAGGTCCAATTATTATAGCAAAATTTGCAAACAGTGATATTAAAAACTGTGTGATGCAAAAACGAAAAGGAAAAAAATTGGATAGTGGTATGTTAACCCATTTACCAAATAATCAAAAAGTCAATTCAAAAATATTTATTAATGAGCAACTTACAACTTTTAACAGAAATCTATTCAATATGGCTTATAAAATAAAGAAAGAAAAAGCATATAAGTACATTTGGTCTAAGAATGGAAGGGTATTTTTAAAAGGATGAAGGTACATCAGCAATATATGTTTGCAATGAAGACATTGTTAAATCACTCTAAATCTCATTTATTGTGAAAGTTTATCATACGTTAAATGATTTCTCAACAAACAATTCTAAATTTAATATCTTGTACCTCAATGCTCGATCCATCCGAAATAAAGTAACAAATATTGAAGTATTGTTAGAACTGGTAGATCATTATAACTGAAACCCGGTTGAATTCCGGTGAAGAATTTTTTTTTAACTTCAATAATTTTAATGCTGTATATGTTAGTAGGGATAAGCAAGGTGGTGGTGTTGGAATTCTAATAAAAACCTGTTATCCATATAAAATAATCTCCAAAGTTGAAGATAAATGTTCAATGCTCTTTATTCATATAGAAAAAAGTAATTATGTAATTGGTGGTATTTATCGACCTGCAGATTATGATATCGACACCTTCTTTATTAAACTAGATGATAATTTGGAAATTTTAAATGAAAATGGGAAGAAGTGTTGGATTTTTGGTGATTTTGACTATTTGGTGAATAATGTGCAAAAACGGAACCTTGAGTTCACAATTTTTTCTAATGGATTTATTAACATTAATGAGGATATACCGACAAGAGTTACCTCAACTTCAAAAACTCTGATAGACTACACAATTAGTAATAAACAACTGATCTAGCTATTGTCGATAGAAATATTAGGGACCACAGATATCAAATCTTGCAGTTTTCAAAAACTAAATCTGTAAATAATAGGAATTGTACAATCAATATATTCAATAGGGTTAAATTTAGTCAGCTGCTTCAACATATCAGAACAACCAACTGGCATGACCCCAGCATCCTCTGCGATGAAATTCTAAGGTCTTTCAATTGCTGTATACAACAAACTATTAGGAAAAATCGATTTAGAGGCAATAGTGCACCCTGGTTTAACGTGCAAATATATAATTTAATAGTTATTTGGGATTACCATTTCAAAAGGCATAAAAAATTCCCTGGCAGTGATTATTTAAAGAGGGTTTATGAGAGTGCTCAAAATTCTGTTAAGTTGGCTATTGAAGAAAGGAAAAGAGTATTATCAAGATCATTTAACTAGTGCTGAAAATGATCCAAAAAATACTATTATTAGTAACTCTAAAAAGAAAAAGTGTTTTGAAATTTCCTCACTGACAATTAATAACTCTGTAATCAATGACCCAAAGTCAATAGTGGAAGAAATAAATAGCTACTTTACCAGTATAGGACCTCAACTTGCTCAGTTATGTGAACCAGTTAAGAATGCACCGTCCTGGTCATATAACGTAAATAACTTTAATCTGCAACCAACTACTAGTCAAGAAATTAGTAATATAATTTTATCATTGAAGAAAGATAAAAGTCCTGGAAAAGATAATCTAACAGCCGAAATACTAAAGGAATTCAATAATGACATATCTCAAATTCTGAGTACTCTTATTAACTTGTCTTTTACATCTGGCTCTGTACCAAGTGCTCTTAAAGTAGCAAAAGTTATTCCAATATTTAAAGGTGGTAATTGCTCCATGTCCAGTAATTATAGACCCATCTCCTTATTGTCTGTAATATCCAAGATAATGGAAACTTGTGTGAATACAAGGATGTGTAGTTTTCTAGATCAGAATGATTTTTGGTTTTCTGGTCAATATGGGTCCCGGCCAAGATCTAGTACTGCTAATGCTATTGTTGATTTAATTACTAGTATCCTGGATGAGCGAGACAAGGGCCTAGGATGTATATTTATATCATTGGATCTAATAAAGGCATTTGATACTGTGAATCATAGCATGTTACTTAGAATCTTGGAAAATATTGGAGTTCGAGGCGTCACTTGAATGGTTTAAAGAATACTTTGAAGGCCGTATTCAATGTGTACATTCAAATGGTTTCGATAGTAATATGTCAGATATTGTATGTGGAGTACCACAAGGTTCAATACTGGGACCAACCCTGTTTTTAATTTATATAAACTACCACTAAATGGTAAGATTTGGCTATTTGCAGATGATACTGGTTTGACATTCTTTAGCAAAAATAAGGAACAGATAAAAAATTATATTGAACACGATCTGATTCTTATTAAGGATTGGCATCGTTATCACAAACTATCTCTAAACATAAATAAATCAAACTTTATGGTCATTTCTAATGATAGGGAATGGCAACAAATTGAATTATCTATTGGTAATGAACTTTTAAATAAAACTGACTGTATAAAATATCTTGGCCTATTAATAGATGTAAAATTGTCTTGGGAACAACACATTAACTACATTTGCAAACAAGTACCTGTCATTGGCATTCTTGGAAGAATCTCATATCTATCTGTGCACTACAAGAAAATGATTTACCACTGTCTTGTCAACTGCCACCTGACATACTTGACACTTATTTGGAGATGTACTTACAATATAAAAGTTCAACCACTTTTTGTGCTGCAAAACAAGGCAATAAAGAAAATCTTCAACCTGCCTCGATTACATCCAACATCAAATCTATTTTGATAATTGCAATATTGCCAGATTTGCCGTTTCTCTTAAATTATTAGTCACTTTGATTTTTCAAATTCATCACCCTGTATATTCAGTCCTTATTGGAATCTTCTATTCAATACGAGTTCAACCATATGCAACACTTATGATTTTATGTAGTCTGGAAGGTCTTAAATAAATAAAATAAGTCTGGTAACGCCTAATTGTCTCAATAAATTTTTTAATAAAACCTATTTTTTTACTACTAACATGAGAAAGCACCATTATTTACTCCATTCCTCTAATGAGAAGTATTATTTCTCACCCTAGGTAAATAATGATAATAAAAAAATACCTAGGTAAATAATGAAACTAAATTTCATTAGTTTCATTTTGTTAATTTGACAACTAAACTCCCAGACTACTTGATATTTTGAAATATTTGAAAAATAAGTAGGAAATAACTAAAGCTGGGTTTATCAAATCTAGTCAAATCAAATATGATAATATATATCAGTGTAAACAGTAAAAATATATATTAACTAGGAAATTCAACACCGGCTTCAAAAATTATTAATTAATACCAATAAATCCATGTCATTAAAATATCAAAAATGGAATGGGATATTTCCTAGAAACATACCAAAATTTGACACATGCCAAATTTTTACATAAATAAAGCCAGTCTAATTAGAAACACGCTCCAGTCTGCTTGATATTTCCAAATTTTTAACAAATTGTTAGGAAATTACTTGTGTCAAAATTAAAATTGCTAATATATTAATGTTAGTAGTAAAAAAAATTCTATATATACCTCGGCTGAGAAAGCTATTATTTACCTCGCACATTATATCCCTCGGCGCTACGCGCCTCAGGATATAAAAGTGCTCGGTAAATAATAGCTCACTTCTCACCCTAGGTATATAATGTACTATTTTAACTACATTAAAACGTAACAATTGAAAGATTATAACATTTTTAACATAATGGTTACTTTATCAAGTGTTCAAAATGTGTTCCATTTGTGAGTCGACAGTACCCTAATCGATGGCCGAATGCGTCTATCACATTTCTCCATGATTGTTTTATTTATTTAAGACCTTCCAGACTACATAAAATCATAAGTGTTACATATGGTTGAACTCGTATTGAATAGGAGATTCCAATAATGACTAAATATACAGCGTGATGAATTTGAAAAACCAAAGTGACTAATAATATAAGAGAAACGGCAAATCTGGCAACATTGCAAATATCAAATCTGGAATCTCCGTATCCCAAAATAGGTGTACCCCAAATTTTGTACAATTAGGATTAGCAATTTACGAGATAATTGGCCGTTTCCAGACTTTTGGGCCACTCCGTATATACACAGATGTCTGCACAACGAAATGAACTCAAATATTCACCTTGGTACCAACAATGAAATCCATACCTATAATCTGCGTAACAGGAATGATCTGAGAGCAGTATCAATGAAAACATCAATGGGGTAGAGAAGCCTAACAAGTAATGATATCAATATATACAGGGTGTCCTTTAAAATGTGTCCCAAAATTCTCAGGCAGATTCCTTAACCAAAAAATGGAAAAAAAGTTCCTATAGACCTATGTCCTAAAGTGCCCCCTAAGCGAGCAACAGCCTCTCGAAATCATTTTTTTTATTTTGATTTTTTGAATTTTCTTAAAAATGGAAACAAATAAAAGAACCAAATTTTGGCTGTTAAATATGATTAATAATAGTGACCTTTTGACACCTTCAAAAAGAAATTATTTCGTCAGGGGTGTACTTGGGAATTTTTTGAAAATTTTGATTATTCATAACTTTTTTGTGTTTTTGGTAATGACTTATCCATATTTTTTTTTACATTCTACATTGAAAACTACGTCAAAAAGGAATACTTGTTTGATCTCGATTGGAGCAGCCGTTTCCGAGAAAACATCATCCAAAGATATTCGTCCACTTTAGCTTAATTTTCAATTTTCCTAAATTACCTCGGTGAATCTCGTAAATAAAAATAACTTTTTTAGCTCTCTCTAAATAATTATAGTTCAAATGTCGTGGTGGGACTATTTTTATTTAATAATAAGAAACGGTTTAAAAAAATATTTATTCTAAAAAAACAAATCAAAAAAAAATTAAAGCAGATGCTCAATGTGGCGACCATTGGTTTCCACACACAAGCGCAACCGTCGCATCATAGACTGTCTTACACGAAAAAATACTTCAGGATTATTCCTAAGAACTTCGCAATGATGAAAAACTCGTTCTTCCAATTCTTCAACTGTTTCAACAGGACTGGAATAAACCAATGATTTTAAATAACCCCAAACAAAAAAATCCATTGGATTTAGATCTGGTGAACGAGGTGGCCAGTTAACAGGACAACCTCTGCCAATTACTCTACCCTCAAATCTTTCGTTAAGGTGCTGTCTAGCTTCAAGGCTGTAATGTGGTGGAGCTCCATCATGCATAAACCACATGTTATGTCTGATTTGAATCGGAATATTATCAAGAAGCTCATGTAAGTTATTTTCCAAAAAAAGCCTGTATGCTGCTCCATTTAACCTATTCGGCAAAACAAATGGTCCAATAAGGTAATTATCAATAACTCCAGCCCAGACGTTTATTGAAAATTTATCCTGGTGGTGACGTTCAACAACCGCGTGAGGGTTATCTTCAGCCCATTCATGCATATTTCGAAAATTTATTATACCATCTCTAGTGAAACCAGCTTCATCGGTAAATAGCACTTTATTAAGAAACATTGCATCTTGATTACATCTTCCAAGAAACCATTCAGAAAAGATAACTCGCGGCTCATAATCAGTAGCTTTAAGTGCCTGAACTTTTTGAATGTGGTAAGGGTACAATTGTTGATCACGCAAAACTTTCCATACCGTGTTACGTCCGACTCCCACTTCTGAAATTAAATGAGAGAATCTGTGTAGTGAATAGTTAAGAAAGAGAATCCATTGATTTGGGAAATCAGATTTTTTCTGCATAACGCAACTCTTTTCGATACGAAAAGTCGTGAAACGTAAGAGAAGCAATAACAAGTAAAAAAAACTAGTTTTATACGATAAGGTACGGGGTAGCTAAAATAATAAATAAGTAATTACTTACCATTTGCTATTTTTCTGGTACTTGTCGATGGGGTTTCAGCTACCCTATCCAAAATTGCTTCTTCCAAAGCAGGAGTTCTCACATAATTTTGTCTTCCACTGTTACTAGAGTTTTTCTTAAATGTACCAGTTTCCCGAAGTCTATCGTCAATTCTAGAAAACGTCTTAGCGCATGGAAGATGCCTATTTGGAAAGCGCTCCTGATAAAGTTTGCGAGCTTCATTGGCATTTCCAGAAGCGAGTCCAAAACATAAGTGCATGTCCGTCATTTCGCCGAATGTGTAATCATTATTGTAGTTATTGTGAGCCATTTTAAACAAAATAATAACAATACAACGAATCGCACCAGAACACTTTTAGAAATAATGTTTAACTGAAGAAACATTTTTATCAGTGAGCGAAAAAAATTATCCATGAAACACAAAAACGCCAAAAAAATACATATTTTTACTTTTTTATTCTAAACAGCTAAATACAAACCTTATGGTCTTCATAATAAATAAATGGGAACTAAATTTTTAAATTTTATTTAGAGAGCTAAAAATAGTATACAGGGTGATTGATTAGTGTGAGGAAGCTCTGTAGATCTGTTATAATAAAAGTAGGCAGCTTTAAGCTTCACATTTTAAAATTAGTTACGATGTGACAGGGTGTTTCATAAGGCCGTGCCAAATCAAAGTTATGTTTTTTAAATGGAACACCCTGTATATTTTTATATTTTTAGAATCTGCTCGATAATCTGATTTCAATGATACATCACACTTGTTATCTAATATGAATAGTAAAGGATCTACAGCTACTCAAAAATCACATTTTTTCAAATTCAGGTGGCTGTTGTAGCCAAACAGTTGGAAATCGAGGAAAACGGCTTACAGTCCCTATCCTAACTTTTTAAGGTCTATTCAGTGACATAAAATACATATTATTTGATACAGGGTGATCAAAAATCCAAAATCACATCCGATTTTTGATCACCCTGTATCAACTAATATTTTTTGCCACTGAATAGACCTTCAAAAGTAAGGATAGGGACATGTAAGCCGTGTTCCTCGATTTCCAACTTTTTGGCTACAACAGCCAAAATTGAAAATTAAGCTAAAGTGGACGAATATCTTTGGATGATGTTTTCTCGGAAACGGCTGCTCCAATCGAGATCAAACAAGTATTCCTTTTTGACGTAGTTTTCAATGTAGAATGTAAAAAAAAATATGGATAAGTCATTACCAAAAACACAAAAAAATTATGAATAATCAAAATTTTCAAAAAATTCCCAAGTACACCCCTGACGAAATAATTTCTTTTTGAAGGTGTCAAAAGGTCACTATTATTGATCATATTTAACAGCCAAAATTTGGTTCTTTTATTTGTTTCCATTTTTAAGAAAATTCAAAAAATCAAAATAAAAAAAAATGATTTCGAGAGGCTGTTGCTCGCTTAGGGGGCACTTTAGGACATAGGTCTATAGGAACTTTTTTTCCATTTTTTGGTTAAGGAATCTGCCTGAGAATTTTGGGACACATTTTAAAGGACACCCTGTATAACAAGATACCAGAAAGAACTGGAGGTCTACAAACAACTTCATTTGCGACACAATTAAAAAAATTAATATTTGCATGTTTCTTTAAGGTTAATTAATTAATAAATGTTTAAAGTTAAATTCTTAAAAACTTAGTTCTTTTAGATGTCTTGTAATTCTTCTTCTTCCTACATGTTAATATTTTTTTTTATAATTCTATTTTTGTTGTTTTCTATATTTCTAAATAATTTATGTTGGCCTGGAACTCATATAGCGTAAGCTCGAGCTCAATTACGTACACTGTGATTATTAATATTGTGATGTTTCTCATTTGCATATGTATTTTCTTACTTGGAATAAATAAATAAATAAATAAATAAATACCTGTTTATCCACATCCGTTGGTTCAAAATAAATCGGTAACTTCAAATAACATTCAGGGGGAATTTCGTAACTTTTTATGTATGGAATTCTGAAAGGGCCGATTGGGTTTAGAGTGCTTACTTTTATCGTTATTGGATCATCTAAAAATGAAACCTTTATATATTGACATTTCAACAATCTTAGACATTATTTTAATTTAAAATGAATTGTAAATTAATACAAAACTGTTATTTGTACGGATGCATGTGAAAAGGTACATATCCCTTAGTGATTTAGGTGCCTCATTTGAGTAGATACTTACATTTTATATTTTGCAACATAACATATTGTATACCCCTCGTACCGACAATGACATTTCCAAAATTCAAGCGTTGCGACTTCATATCAATTAATATAAAATCGGGTCTGACTACTTTGCAAACCACATTCAAATAGATTCGTTCCTTTTTTCTGGACATACATTTACTTTCGTAGCTTATGATACAGGTTAATTTCGAACTGATAGTATAGGGTTGTAAACTCCTCCAATAGCACATTTCCGCCGGAAAATAGTCTTGAGGTGACAGAACCAGTTCGGATTCTGTTATTACTATTTTCGGCAAATTTTCTAGATCTTCTAAAACCAAAACAAACTTCTTAAAACTATCAGAAATGCCAAAGCTGGTCAGAATGTCAAAACTTACAAAGTTACAAAACTGTCAATCTTGACAAAATCTCATTGTTTTATATAATCGAATTAAATTACGGGTTTTTAGCTTACATTAAATTGTAATTAGATGAAACAAAATGGATTCTATGTATTTTGAGGTGATCTTTTCGAAAAAAGGCAAAACAAAATGTAGCAGTTTTTCGAAAGTGCTGAAATTTTGGATTTTGTCAATTTTTCAATTTTGCGCAGGCGCATGTCGGAAATAAATCAATATTTTTAAAACGCAGTTTACGACATTTGAAAGATTAGGAAAAATGATTATTTTTATGTCTCTTGAGAAATTTTGATCCGATGCACCGTTCTCGCGGTATGGACGATTGAAATTTGTTTAGTATTTTGAGGCGACGAAGGTCGAAAAATTGAATTTGTTAAATGTTCAAACACTAAATTCTTCATAACATTGGTAAAAATTAAGATATTTGAAAAAACAAAAATGCGTTTTGAACTTAAGGGATGTGACTAGTGATTCCCAGAAGGGAGCAAGAGAAATCCCAAAATTGGGCATATGGCGAAAGGGCAAAGTGTACCGCGGTCCTAATTTCATTGTTTGCCTATAACGGCCAAACTATTTGAATTTTTTTAATTCCACTTACAAAGCTTACTTTTAAATGTGAAATCTTATGTGTGTGTGAATTTCATCGACATCGGACCATAATTGGCTAACATATCAAACAATTAAATAAATTTTTTTCCTTAAAAAAAAAACAATTTTTTTTTCGAAAGTTTGAAGTGGCACAAAAATGCCAAAAATGCACCCAATGGCTCAAAACTTTTTTTTTGAGTACTCTATTGTGTCTAGAATATGATTACATTACGGAAAATTCTGCAAATATATTTTATCTATTTTTTTGACCACTGTTCATTGAGTGACGACCAAAAAACACGGTTTTTGAGAAAAGTTGCCTAAAATTGACAATTTTTAGTTTTTTTGGTCTGAAAATTAGGCAAACCCAAATTTCATGTCTTCTAAATGTGTATACAAAGTTTAAAGTGTGTATCTTTCTTCTAAGTTGTAGAATTTTCCCGACAAAAGTCCCATTACACGCGCTCCGCGGGATCCAAAACTCGTGTATACACTATATTACTGTAATTTGATTTTTTTGCGATTTTCAGTTTTAAATTTCTTACATATCTAAATTTATTAGGCTTAAAATTTATTAAATTGTATTTTACTGACTTGTTATAAGAAGTTTCTTGAGTTTTGAGCAAAATATAGAATTACCGCCAAATTAGCCTCACGTCGCATCAAGGATAGTAATGGTCTCGGCATTCGCTATCTGACAAGTTTTAACTTCAAACGGTCATATTTTTACAAATTGAATCGCTTGATAGTGTTCATCGGCATAGATTTTTAATAACCGCGTTCAGCAAGCTCTGTGTACACGTGGCTTTTCGAACTTCTTCAGAAATTTATTAAGTACGTTCCTAAATTAAGAAAATTCTATCACAGTGCTATAATTTTTTGTTTCTAGGTTGCAATGGCTGGCCTGTGTTTATTATGTCATCAGACACTTGCAGAGAGTGAACTATTGCAGATTTGCAATGCGACCTATGACATTCGAAATATAACCGAAAACTACGCATTTTTTGTGCTTAGAAAATTGCTCGTAAAACGAGTGGTTTTTTCTTAAATCCAAAATTTTCGCTTTTTTTTAGAAAAAACAAGCACACTGTCGATTTTTCCGTAATTTGGGCACTTTACAGACTGAAAATATATTAGAATCAGTAAGTTTAATGGGAAACAAGCTTACTTTCTCTCCCAATTGCCAGAAAATTCGAGTAGCTTCAATTCTCGCGGGAATTACCGATCTTTGCACACGTGCGCTCAGAAAACAGTGGATGCTAGAAAAAATGTAGATGCCACAGTTTTTTTCTCTCTATCATCTGACGGAAACAGTTTTCTTTTCAGATAATTAGTTTTCGAGTTAATTAAGAAAAAAGTACGAGAAATTAAGAAAAAAGTTCGGAACGTAACTAGAAAATACGTATTTTTGTCATGCATATATATCTTCTCCCATTTCAAGTTTTCTTGTAAATAACTAAAAACCAGATATTAGAGAACAAAAAGCAAGCTTATCACCAAGTTGGAACTTACACTCAGGCTTAGGATTAATTTCCTAACATTTTTAAAGTATATCTTTTTGTGTATTTTTTTGTGCTCTTTTCGATGGCGAAGTTAGTTTTTTCAAATATATTTTTTTGTTAGATGTTTTCGGAAAACCCGGAAAAAATCATATGGGAAAAAAATTTAAAAAAAAACTACGACTTCCGGTTTCCTGCGAATTCCCGAAAAATTATGGCAGATTTCGCCGCGGGACTTATTTTATTTGAGAGCCAACAAAAAAATACGCAACTTCTCTCATGGGCACATATGTCTAACATTTATAATTTCGCCACAAATTCATCGCAAATTTCATGTCCATGGTTCTGATAAAAAAAAACGAAAAAACGACTTTTTGGTAAAAGCACTTCTGGCGGCGAGAAATTCGCCATTAAAACTACCTGTGCAATGAGTTTCCAAACTATTTTTGCCTCCTCTTTCGAATGGTGCATTTATTTTCACTATCGGAATGATACTTGCCCAGATAATTAGCATTTTTACAATGGAAAATTCCGGAAAACCCGGTTTTTCCTAATTTAAAAAAAATTGAAAAACTGCTACATCTTTTTTTTCTTTTTTTTTGTTTCATCCAATTACAAATTAATGTAAGCTCGAAGGGGCTTTTTTTCGTTATTTAATTGGACTAATAAGATCGTTTGAGGTTGAGAATTTCTACTTACTATCTTTAGAAATGATCCTAGAGTGTTGGCTAGTTGAGAGCGACGAAGCTTTTGATGTTCTTCTACCCTTTTTGAGAATTTTTGTGTTCTTTTTATCTTTTGTTTTTGTTTTTACATCAACTTTTTTAATTTCCTCGAATTCTTCCATACGCATTCTATAAATTTCGGCGTACTTAATGGATTTTGCGATTTCCGCAACAAGGTCATCGGGCGGCGTTGGTTTGAAAATTAGAAAAACTTTTTTTGACTAAAAAAAATTATAAAATTATTTGAATATAAAAAATATACCTATTAGCTATGAGATAGGTAGCTGAGAGACCATTCTAATTCTTTTTAGTTTTACATTTGGCAACAGCTCAAAATGTTGTAACTTCCAGTATAATGCATTAAGATCCAAGTGATCACCTCGACCGGAGTGAACGAGCTCCGCTTTATATTTACTGCGCATATGAGCTTGGCGGATTCCTCTATATCTTCGTACTGTATAAATGTATTAAACAATAAGTCAACTATAAAGGAATAACGCAAACGCGGAAAAAGTTCGGCATCTCTTTAAATAATAAAAAAAAATGGTGTAGGGAATGGGTTCAGTGTTGCCAGAATATATTTTTGTTACGTACCAGATGTCTAAAAATGTACCAGATTGCATAAAAATGTACTAGATTCTGTAAAATCTTCCAGATTTTCGAATGAATTGTGATAAGGTTTGATAATTCGCCATACATTATCGTCTCGATGATGGTGGGTGAGGTTTTCCTCACCTGTAAGTCAAATGGCACCATCAATCATCCTTAAGTCGCCCCGGAGCGCCACGGCAAATAATAATAATAGCCGTCCCTTCCCCTACACAAGTCGTTCAGTCGACTTCAGGGGTTGAAATTCACTCGTAAGGGGGTGAATTAGGGAGAGTATTATTATTATTCATTATGAAAAAAAAAAAAAAAGGGTTTTTAGCGAACGAAAACAAAACAAGGAGCAAGATCCCAACAGTATATTTTACACGTATCAAGTGGTAACACGCTAAAAAAGAAAAATGTACTGGATTTTGCTTAGAGTGTACCAGATTCTTAGAAAATCTACTAGATCTAGTACAATTGTATTAGACTGGACACTAAATGGGGGTTGCTTATTGGAAGTCCGCTAAATATAATATTCAACTTAAGGTGGTATCGGTTTGCCGTCACATGGCGCTCCGATGTAAATTGGTTTTTTGTTGAAAAAGATGCACTAAAAATAGTAAAAATTTGTGAAGTGCTTAGTTTGTGAATTATCTGTGCCCAACCAAAAAGCCGTTAATGAAGATTGAATGGTTCTCTAATATGATTTTTTCATAATGGTTAATTGTGAAACGTGTCTTTCAGCGATCAGCAGAACGAGACCCAGCTTTTCTTGTGAAGGCTGCAAAAACTTGTTTCATGTTATCTGCATTACAAAAAACGACAACTTAATAGAAAATTGCAGAATGTACCGAGGCTGTCCTGAAAATGCTCAGCTTGTATAAAGTCATGCATTGTAATAAATGAAGATCGTTTGCATAAAGTTATCGAAACTAATCTAGATACTGCTGTTTATCGAAACTAATCTAGATACTGCTGTTTCTACAATAAACAATCATGTTACGTCTATGAAATGTGACGTTGTAAAGGCTGCCACAAACGTGCCTACTTCTATAATTATTCGTCCAAAAACTAATCAGGAAATATCAAAAACACAGACTGATATTTTGCGTCATATTGATCCAACAGCTGAAAATCTTCAATTGGCAAAGGTTAAGACTATCAAAGATGGAGGAATTCTTATCGGTTGCTGTAATCACTCTGATGCTGAAAAAATTAGAAAACTGTTTCAAGAAACAAATGGCTGACTCCTATGATGTTAAAGAAATTGCTTGCGTGCATCCTTGACTACGAGTGGTAGGTAGAGTAAAACAAACTTAAGTTTGGTACACCCACGTGTCGATCCGATGGTTGCACCGTAGATTTGTTGACTATCGTTACCATGCCAACCTCTAACCCAGATAGCATTTGATATCCTATGTATATACCTCAGAGGTTCTGCTAGTGGACATGTCCTGGTGTATGTACTTAGAATATACATAACACATACATTAATGTATATACATTAAACAGACATATTATGTACCTACCTAGAGGTACATACGTTTTGTGAACATTCTACGAATATACCACTCATGAATATTTCTGAATATGCATTTAGTGTACATCCTACAAATATACATCTTATGACTATTCCGGAATATTCAGAGTGTGTACATCCTACAAACATGTAACTTATTAAGAATCAGTAATGTACATTTTGTGTATATCCAGAAAATATACCTTTTACGAATATTCCTGAATATGCATTTCGTGTATATCCAGAAAATATACCATTTACGAATATTCCTGAATATGCATTTCGTGTACATCCTGCAAATATACATCTTGTGACTATTCCGGAATATTCAGAGTGTGTACATCCTAAAAACATACCTCTTGTGAACTTTTCAAAACTTGCAATTTGCTTATATCCTACAAACATGTAACTTATGAACAATCAGTAATATACATTTTGTGTATATCCAGAAAATATACCTTTTACGAATATTCCGGAATATTCATTTTGTGTACATTCTGCAAATATACTTCTTATTACTATTCCGGAATATACAGAGTGTATATCCAGACAGACAAAAAACGTCTAACAACAAATGATTTTTATTCGTACCTACACAATGCCTACACAAAACAGAACGACAGAAGACAAAACAAAGTAAATTTTAGCGAATAACCAAGTTGAGATGTTAATATTTTGAACGGCAATAGACATATTTTTTATGTGTGATAGACGGAGACGGGACAGTTGTCCTGTTACAAAAATAATGTTACTCGCGAAAATATAATAATTTTAGATTTCAGCAGCTGAACTCCCTAACTGGATGTGGATGTTTGAAATCACGGGGGTTTATATCATATGCACAATACGTAAACACGTTTCTGCGCATACTCCTCCGCGCTTGGGTGCTCTGAAGTCCGTTTTACAATAGCAAAATTGTATTAAAATGTAAAGCACATTGATTAATTTAATAACATCTCGTTCAGTAACACACAAAAAGTGTTGTTTCAAAAATTTTAATTCATATATTACAACAAACTAAAAAAAACATACCTTCACTTAGTTATTTGTACTATGTGAAGATGGCTTTCTGTCCGCTGCATGACTGCTGGCTGCCCGCTATAGCGGGCCCCGCGCGCGCTGTCAACAAATAACATCAAAATCAAACAAATGTGTGGTTATGTTATGATTTGGTTGTCGAAGAAAACATGTGAGTGGAACTACTTTTATTTTTTTAGATATGTTATTTAGGATTATTTAAAATCAAGTAAAGGTATTTTGATGCTTTAACATGTCTTTACCAGGCAGAATTCATTATAAACGCATAATTTCTAATTGTTATAGTACATTTTATAAGGCCCATTCCAAACGTAAATTTTAAGAACAAACATTTTTAAATTTCCTTCTGATATTGATCAAAGAACGGAATGGTGTCGTATTTTAAACATTTCACTTACAACCCCAATCATTATACATTATGTGAAAATCATATTTTGATACAAAATTGTTTACAAACACAAATCGTTCAAGACTGCTAAAAGATTTGCTTTACCTTGCTTTAGTATCCTCAAAACCAGATACACCAAAGATAGTAGTACTTAGTAATATTGTTATCACACCTCCAAACAGAGTCCTGTGTGGATAAAGTTCATTTTAATAATATATACAAAATTAATAAATAAAGCAGAATTTGAGTCAGGCCACTAGTTATGTTGCAGGGTTTATTAAGAAACTTATTAGTTTTGACTGCAAAGAGTGTAAAGTTAATTTACAGACATGTTAGAAGACCATCGATACTTTTACTTATTTTAAAGAAAATTTTGATAAAAGACGTTTTATTTATGTACAAAGAAATGTTATTGAATTTCTTTCAAAAATTCTTGAAATAGTTTCACAACTTTTGGGTCATATTGACAACATAATTCAAATAATTAAACTTTTTTGCCAGACCATGTTGATTTTAAATGGTTTACATCAGAGGCGACTCATGGCCTAGTCTATGAGGAGACTACTTTTAAAAGGCACACCCTATATACAAATATATGTCTATAAGAATTCAAAAAGCAGAAATATTTCATTGTATTCTAATAGAAATATATATTTGTATAAAGTATATAGGATGAGCCAGCTTCCTCACAGACTAGGCCACAAGCCGTCTCTGGTTTACATATAAAGAACATAAAACAGATGTCTTTTCTCATTTAGTTGAAACTTGTCTACTATTAATAATAAGAAAGTATTATAATGATAGTATGAGGGCTGCTGCAATGTCTAAAAGACAAACAAAATTATTTGAAGTTACTGCATTTAATTTTTTTCTGTTTCAGTTTATATGGATGGTTGCTTTTGTCTGATTTCCTAAGATTCAAGAAGAATTTGTTGTTTTGTTTTTCGTTTATTTTAAAAATTTATTTATTTAGGCATTAGTTTTCATATCAAGTAAATTAATTATTTGTTATGCAATTTCTGATTTTTGTTAGCCAAAGATAGTTAACGTACCGAAATAGTAATGTAATGTTTGTGATATTAGAGTAACTTTCTTAAATAATCATTTATAAGACGTCCGGGAGCGCCATAGTAAATAATAATAATAGACATTCTTGCTTCGCATAAGCTCGCTTGTATGGGGGTGAAGTATATGAAAAATATTTTTTTGTATTGCCATCTCTTTGATTTTATTTTTCTTGGGAATTTTTAGTAAATATAATTATATAAAACTTTGTATATTTATTTTATCCCTCATAATTATTTGTCATAGAATTTTACATTTTTATTGGGCATTTCATAATTGTTACAAACAGCTAATAAAAATGGAAAATTTTAATTATAATTAAGAGGAAAATTTACTTAAGCAATTATCTTTTTCTAAACAATACGAAATAGAGCCACAAATATTTCTATAGTTTAATTTTACTTTTTAGTGAATGAAAAATATATACCTTCAGGTAAAAGTGAAATGTCTGTTTTTCTGGAGCCACTATTCCGAAATTTGATTTAATTATTTTCTCAATTTTTGAAATCTTTATAAAAACAAAATTTTGCGATTTATTGCCATCAAAATTTGATTAAATTTTGAAAAAGTGGCTCCAGAGGAACATATTTTAGCTACACGTACATGTTTTTTATTTCACT